CATTCATTCATTCATTTATTTGGTACAGGGTCTCACTACTCATCCTGGACTCATAGTGATTCCTCTGTCTCAGCTTACCCAGTGCTGAGAATTACAGGCATGCACCACCCCACCCAGTTTCAGTGGCCAGCATTGCACGCCCAGGTCGGCGGCGCATGCAGTACCTGGGATCAAACCTGGGTCCTTATGCTTGCTAAGCAGGCACTTAGACTGCTGAGCTATCTTTCCAGCCCCAGAATCTGTTGTGAAGAGTGCAGAATTCCATCCTCATGTACTAAAACTTGCAAACCAAACTTAAACTAGAATGAAACATTTTATGTTAAAAATGTATGAGAATTTATCAAGTATTTGGAAGTAAGAAGAAAGTTAAACATGATTTAATAGCTAGTATGCTAAATGTCTGATAGTTTTACTGTTACCAGGAAGACCCAATTATAAAATTATGTTAATAAATAAAAATGTCACTGTACAAGTAGAAATAAGTCTGACAAAACAAGGTAAGTTACAGAAGGAAAAGTTATAAAATCTTATTGAATACATGAAGAACTAAAACACTGATGAAATACACAGAATCATGGATGAAGATCTGTAATATGAAAAGATCAATTTTATATAAATTTACCAATAAATTCCATGTTATTTTGGCAAAGAGCTAAAATAATTTGAAAAATAGATTGTAATATCAACTTGGAGAGAAAAGACCCTAAAATATCTTAAGAAGAAGAAAAAATAAGACAAATCCATTGACTTATGTAGCTTTATTCAAGACTGGTGTCATAGGTTGATGTCTAGGCTGAATTAAAACGAATAATGATTAGTAATAAAATAATTTTACCAATGAAACAAGGATAGAGGATCTCAGGAACAAATAAATGGGAGAGTGAAAGCAGAGAATGAGTAGGTGAACAATGTTGCCATAATTTTTACTCCATATGAAGGTTTCTAAATTATTCTTAGGGGGGCAGCAAGATAGCTCAACAGTCTAAAGTGGCTGCTTAGGCAAGCTTAGGCAAGCACAAGAAC